TTATTTTCGTATGTGACAATTGGGAGGTCCTAGTTTGGTTCTACTTTTTGATCTCGCACTTCACTTTCGAGTACCTTCTCGTATAGGAGGCTCCTTATTTGTGGTCACTTGCCGTACAGTCTCGAGGGCTTTCCAATTTACAATTCTATCCAATTTATATATCTGTCAACACATATGCAACATTTTCGGTTTGTTTTTACATTCTATAAGCTTATGGCCTTTTTCTTCGCAGTGGATGTTCAGATCCATGCCCTTTCTATGAGGCCTTCTTTGAGTTTTCCAAAAAAAAAAAAATATTTTTTTTCTTATAAAACACGACTAATATTCTTTGGTTTCTCAAAATACTCAATGCAATGAAGGTATACGACAAAAAATATGGTCTAATAGATAATGATATAATAACTGGGGTTTTTTGTTTAACTTCTTGAAGATGCTTTTCGGTTTGGTCTTCTTAATTTTGTTTTGTTTTTATCATCGAAAACGTTTTGGCATGAAATGTAGTTTTCTTCTTTTTTTTTTTTGCATTGCATTCAAACTAAACTGATGGTATTTCTGGTTAAAAGGGGTGAGGGAGAAGGGGAGGTGAACGAACGATGATAATGTGAATAGTTTTCAATTGAATTTCTGCAAAATGATGTTCATGGCATGATCTTCGTTGCATGGCGGATTTTCTTATTCCCAAACATTGATCGGTGAACGTTGTCATTTTGCTCGTACATTTCAAGCGGTAGTGTTGTGATCTTCCGTGTTTAGCGTGTATTGAAATCGTTTTTCAGACATTGATTTTGGGATATTTCAATATTTTCTAATAAAAAAACATTTGGTGATAGATTTAAAATTGTAAAAAATAATTTAATTAGAGAAGTTAAATTAAAAAATTAAAAAAAAAAATAGAAAATTTTGAAAATATTTTGAAAACTCTTGCTGTTGATATTTGAAATGATGTGATGAAAGAATTTTGTGAAAAATAATATTTTTTTTGTTCTGAAAAATATTGCCAACGAAATGTGTATTGAAATCCCAATTCATAGGACTTCGTCTATCTAAAATCTAATAAATTTATAAATGAAAACATAACATATCTTAAAGCAAATAAATTGTGTAAATGAAAACATAACAAAAAATTGCCCGTATTGCAAATAAAATTCATTCTCGCTTAATTTTTTTTTTAATTTTTAAAATCCTTCTTTACTTACTGCATTTCATTTAAAATCATGTCATTAGTTTTTTTTAAATTCTCAAACTTTTTTTTTTGCTACGTCATTTAATAATCAGCTTATTTGTCAAGTTGAGATCTACAGATCTTATTTTTCGATTAGATATTGTTTAGACTTGCCGCGTTGGCATTCTTGTGCCTGCCAACCGAATACGCATGCGTTTGTTTATTTTTAAATTCCAGTGCCAAAAAACGAAAAAAGGAGTTCGATCAGATTTCAAAACAAAAACCCAACAGACAAAATTGTGTTCATAAATTGAGGGACACCTAATACCCTTGACAAATTGATGTTTTGTGTTGACATTGACAGATTTGCAATTAAATGAGTAACTTTGGATTAAGGGCTATTTAGACAGGGGGATTTTTTAAAACAGAAAATTGAGAAGTAGAATTTTTTGATGCGATTCTCGACACAGAATTCTGGCTGGCTTTTCAGGTTGGCCACAAAATCTGCAGTGGTTACCATGTTTTTAGTTTCGATTTTCAATATTTTTTTACAATTTTTAACAAAAAGTCCCTAAAGCAAAAAAAAAAAAAAAAAATAAATAAATAAACCGAAAAATATAAAATTGAAAATAACAATATTTCAAGACCGAAGACTGAATGCAAAAAAAAATTAATTAATTAAATAAATAATTAATTAAAATGAAAAAAGAATTGAAATTATAAAAGTTGGACAATAATATAACAAGTAGAAATGACTAGTTCTTTTAGCTCATATAGTTCCATTAGTTCATCTATCTCATTTTTCTTATTTGGCTCCTTGGTTATACGATATAAAGAAAAATAGTGATTTAGCTGAAAATAATATAAAAATAACGGTAATAATTGAATTACTACGACGTATGAACGAGTGCAATCAAAAGGGACCAAGGAACTAGTTCCTGAGCAAGTGGTCTAAATAGAACTCTTATGAGAATGAACCAGAAATATCGATCCATTTTGTGAACAATATTGGCCAACTCTTACCTTTTCTTCAAGAAATATTTCTTGATTTTGAATTGGGAGGACATTTTAAAGCAAAAAAGAAACATTTGAACTGAGAAGAATTAATTAGAGAGTTCCCTCTGAGGAAATAAACCAGAAATATCGAACCGTTTAGTGAACAGCGTTGTCCAACTCTTCAAAAATATTTATTGATTTTGAATGGAGAGAAATCTTTAAACAAAAAAGAAATATTTGAAATAAGACAAAGAATGAGTGAACTTTATGGAACAAAGGAATAGTTTTTCCAAAGGAAAGAAATGAGAAATTAAGATCCTGCTTTGTCCAACTTTTATCATTATTTTCAAGAAGTATTTATTGATTTTGAATCTTTATCTAAAAAAGAAACATTTTTATTAAAAAGACACATGAACGAGTGAAATTTAAAGAAAAAAGGAACTAGTTTTCCCAAATGAAAGAAACGATAATTGTAGATCCGTTTAGTGAACAGCTTTGCCCAACTTTAATCATTTTTTCTTCAAAGAAGGGTTTTTGTATTTTTTTTAGATATGTATGAATTAATGAGTGGGTAGAAAGGGGAGAAATGAGTAAGAATAAATTAAACCTAAGACATATGAACGAGTGAAAAAAGGAACTAGTTACTTTAATGGTAAATATTCGTAAGGGCAGAGACAGAGAGCGATCTATTTAATGAAATATAAAGAACCATCGAACTAAGAAGAACAATGAATTTGTGATCAAAAGCGAACAAAGGGCTTGTTTCTCGAGAAAAAATGAAGCAAAATATAATTAAGAGAAATGATTTGCCCACCCGCAATCATTTTCTTCAAAAAATATTTTTGATTCGAAGTAAAAGAGACAATAGAAGGAGGAGGGATAATTAAGTAAAAAAACACCATTAATAAAATATATGAATCAGTAAATTAAATAGAACAAAATGAACTAGATTCTTTTATGGAAAAAATCTCCATAAAGAGGGAGATCAATCCATTTAGTCAAATAAACACTTCAACCCTAATCGAATGATTGAGCAAAAAATAACCATCAAACTAAAAAGAAATATAAGAAAGGGGAACAAAATTTAACAAAGGAACTAGTTGCTTCCTAGGTTCGATTCGATGGACTCCTTTGGTGAACTGCATTGCCAGAATCTAATAATTTTTCTTTAAAAAATATTTAAACGATGTAAATGGAAAGATAGAATGGACACAAATGACTGAATTAAAAACAACAGTTGAACTATTTTGACATATGAATATTAGCAAAGGAACTAATTACACTTGAGAAATAGAACTAGGAATATCGATCCGATTATTAAACTGCATGGCCAAACTCTAATAATTTCTGTAAGAAATAGATAGAAATAATAAGCGATAGAAAGAAAACTAGTGATAGAAAAAAAAAAACGCACAACTGAATGAAAAGCACCAATTGAACTAATAAGACAAAATATGAACTATAGCAAATGAGCTAGTTGCTCTTAAGAAAATGAACGAGGAGATCGATCCGATTAGTGAACAGCAATGCCAAACTTTTATCACATTCTCTAACAAATATTTAAACCATGCACATGGAACGATAAAAAAAACAATTGAACTAATAAGACATGGGAACGTTAGCAAAGGAACTAGTTACTCTTAAAAAAATGAACGGGGAAGATTGATCCCATTAGTAAACTGCTTTGCCTAGTTCTAATTATTTTCTTAGAGAGAAAAGAAAGGGAAATGAAAGACTGATCTCAAATTAGTGATTAAACTAATAATTAGTGAGCTGAGTGGGAAAAATGAACTAGTTCTTAACTGAATGGAACCACTGAATGAAAATAATGATGAAACTGTTAATTCTCTTTGTTTGAGGAAATAAATAAAAAGAAGAATAGATAATTATCTCAAGGAATATAAAAAAAAAATAAAAAAATTAACGATAGGAAGAAAAGAAACGATTGACCTAAAAAGATTGACTAAACGAAAATCAATCACATGAACGTTTTCACTAAGTGGAACTCGATTATAATCATTTCTATTAAGAAATATTTGAACGATCTAAATGTAAATAGAATGGAAAGATAGACAATTAAAGAAAATATAATCAATATTTAAAAAAAGGAGAACAAAAGATAAGCGACTGAACTAAAAGGAACAATTGAAGCATTTAATAAAAGTATTTGAACGAGTGAAACAAATGGAACTAGTTCCACTTAAGATAGATAAGGGGGAAAGTCCAATCCTTTCGGTGATTTAGATAATTCGATTCTTATAATTTTCTTAAAGAAATATTTCATATTTTTATAACTCCCCATGTAACGAAATCTCAGAGTTTTTTTGAGATTTTGAGGATGGTTGGAAGGGCTTTTTTTACTTTTTTTAAATTAACCTGAATAAAGATGTGACTACATAAGCAGCTTGAAGTCTTCGCTTGGCATATTTTGTGACATATGAAAGGGGTGCGGCTCTATTCGCACTCTAATTCTGCCTCGGTTTTTCCTATAATTTTACATTAATATGCCCAGCTATGATGCCAAGCTGCTTATGTACTCACGCCTTAAATCTGTATCTGTAATAAAAATTATCGAATTTACAGTGAAGGACAAAACTCTCAACCAAAAAAGATTTCTAAATTAATAAGAAAATGACAATTAAATTGAATTGATATTTATTTTCTGAAATAAAAATTACAAATTTTGAAGATGTTTTTCTCCAACTACAACAACATGTATTTGAAGAACTATTGTTATAGGTAATTGAAAAAAAATATATCCAAAAATAATATTTCCGATTTTGAAAGTGAAAATATAATATTTAGAATTTGTAATAAAAATGTTCTTGTTTTTTTCTTACAGTTCCGTTTATGCCGCCCCCTTGTTGGCCGCCACGGCCACCTCCAATGGTGGTGGGATGGCTGCTTATGGCATCCAAACGGCCAATATTATGGGTACAAATTCATCGCCACCGCCAACGCATCATCATCACCAAGCCATGACACCCAGCAATGGTGGTCATGCGGCCAATTCACCGGCAGCAACAGCTGGAGCAAACAACAACCCCACCTCGAATGGTGGTGGTGCACATGAAACGCATAATGATGACTATGAGAATGGTTCACCCAAGAGTAACCACAGCAGTGCGGGCGGAGGTGATGGTAACTCAACGACGGCGGCGGCGTCGGGTGGTGCCTTGCCAGCATTTCAAAGAATTGCTGGCAACACATATGGAGCCAATGCAGCCGGTGGTGTTGAACGTTACGGCTCACTGAATAACTATCGCAGTCATGTAAGTGTAATGGTATATGCTTTGAAATATAAAATTATAATTTATTTTTTTTCGAAATCATTCTTAGGCCGATTCCTGGTCCAACTATGAGGCCATTAGCTATGCACCTGCCTCCATGGCAAATCAGGCGCTAAACAATGCCCTGGCCAACTCCAATGTCATACGCAATGCTGTGTTCAATGGACGTTCGGGAACCGCCGCTGAGGTGTCGGGAGCCAATGCCAATTTGGCAGCCTCTGCCTCTTTGTCAGCCAGTAAGTTCTTGTTCTTTTCAATTTTCATTATTATTTTTTTGTTATTTGTTAGAGTTATTAAAGCTTTGTCCCCATGTTTTCTTTTTTTTTTTTCAATATATGTATATAAATTTATATTTATTTCAATACTGATAAGCTTTTGTTAAAAAAAAAACATATATGAACGAAAAAAGAACAACAATGCCATAAAATACTTTAAGAAAAAAAGGTTATGACCTCCATTCCAACAAAAACGAGAAGAAAAAAACACACAAGTCAGTCAGTCAGTGGAAAAAAGATTCGTTCACACTTAAGGAAATTAAAAAAAATTGAAATATTATTTTGTTTTCAATTTTGTGAAATTTTGCTGGGTCCAATACGAATTAAGAGTAGGAAACCATTCCATTTCAAAAAAAAAAAAAAAAAAACCATGCTAAATTACACAAGCAATTGGATGTGGTTTTTAACTAAATACCGAAACATTTCACAGATTCTCAATTTACACGAAAAGAAGACAAATGCCGGAGCTGGAATTTTCCGCTCTGTCCACCACAAATTACCCAAGACGGGCCACTTAGGCAATTCGTGTCGTGCCAGTCCCCTTGGCCTGTTCTCTGTTCTATTTATGTAAGCTGTGTAAATTTGACTATAATTTGTGCTGTTGTATTTGTTGATCCTTTTCAAATATTGAAATAGCACAAATGTGTGTGTGCATGAGAACGTGTTAGGACTTCAAACACATCCACACATGTTAGGGGAAATTAGGCAATTCTGAGATTTTCTTTTTAAGATATCCTTTATATTCCTCAAAAAAAGGAGAATATTTTTTAATAACTTCCTTTGCGGCGAATAACAATTTATTTTTAAATATTTTATAGAAAAAATCGAAGAATGAAGAGGGATTGAAAAATCCGAATGTCCAACTTTAGATCTTTGAACACAAGTCCTCTTAACGATCTTTGGATTTATTCTGATTGGCATGAGATCGTTCCTGAATTGCAAGAATTTTTTTATGAAAAAAAAAAATGCAGAACTCATAGATTCTTGCAGATTCTGGAACAGAGCAATAATTGTACACAGCAAGAAAAAGTAGGAGGAAATTTTCTAAATAACTAGCTACTCTGGATTTACTTCAATTGGTTAAAAGTCGATTTCGAAATCGAACAGATTTTGGCATTTTAAAATATTTAAAATAAATGAAGGAAGGAGACTCTTCCTACCACTCTTTGACTTATGCTTTTCGTAAAAATGTCTACTTTTCGATATAAAAATCGACTTTCAATTTCAATAATTTCGAATTAAAGTCGTTTTATCTTTTATTTTATAAAGAATCGTTAAAATCGCTTTGCAATTTATTACTGGGCATTATTTAAAGAATAGTATCTCAAATCCAAAAAACACTAGTCAAGTACCCAATATCTGTTATTTCAAAATAGAAAATCAATTACGAAAAGTCGTTTTTAGAACGTTAAATGGAAAGTCGATTTACGTACCGAACTAAGTAAACTACCCAACATTCCTTTTGTGGAAACGCTGCTTAGAATACATGCGATTTCCAAACAGAAAAAATGATGGTTAATAGTAGAGCTGTAGGAATCCAGACAATAAAAATTGCTATATCGAATAAAAGGAACTGGCTTTATCAAAGAGCCAGTTCCGAATACTCCTTTCAAGGAAAGATTAGTAGCATTTTAAAATAAAAACAATTTTATTTTGAAATGCTACTAATCCAGAAGTGTTGAAAAAGAAAAACATTAAAGAGTTGGAACTGATTTAAATTGTTCCATTTTGGGAATATATAGTTCCAATGAACTAGTTAAATTCGGAATCCCACAATTCCAAAGCATTAAAAAATTCTTTCAATACCAGAAATACCTTTCCAAATGTTCCTTATATGAAATAGTTCCATTGAAATAATTTAAGTAGCTACAACTCGAAAAATGTCTAAAATATTAGGAACTAAAGAGTTGGACAAAAATCAGATTATTCCTACTTGGGAATACACAATTTCAGTGAACTAGGTAATTTCGGAATCCCACCAATTTTCGGGCTATATCAAATCGTTTCAAAGAAATTAAAAAAAATAATTTTGAAAATGAGAAATTTATTATTGAGATGCAACATTTCCATACATTTTTTTTAACAAAAAGGAACTAATGGAACTAGAGCAGGCGCTAGTTTCGAATGTTCCTTCCACGGAATAGTTCTATTAAACTGTTTAATTTCGCAACGCTACAACCGGAGACTTTCCTTACATAAATAGAGAACTAAATTAATTAAAGAGCTGGATTTAGTGCGGATTGTTCCTTTTGGCACATATATAGTTGAATTGAACTAGTTCATTCTGGAACCCCACAATTCTAAGGCATTAAAAAAAATACCTTTCGGGAAGATATATGCATTTTGTTTGCTACATTTGAGCAGAAACATATTCCCGAAACTATTTAAAATAAAAGGGAACTAACTAGAACTATATGTATCAAATTGCACTAGTTCCGAATGATCCTTCCACGGAATAGTTTCATTTTGCAATGGTATAGCTGGAGACTTTCTCTAAACAAAAATATGGAACTAAACAAACTAAGGACCTTGACCTAGTTCGAATGGTTCCTTTTAGGGAATATATCTTTTTTGTTGAACTAGTTCATTTAGGAACCCCACAATTAAGAAAAAAAAATCGAAAACAATTCAAAGAAGTATTTTTTTTTCAAATTTGATAAAATAAAACAAATTAAATAAAGTAAATTAGGTAAATAAAATAGATCAATTTAATAAAAAAAATTATTAAATAAAACAAATTAATTTAATTATTAGCCAACAACAACCAATTTTCTCTGAAAATGTTATTCTGAAAAAAGGGCAAAATTAGAAAATTCGTTCATCTATAGTTTTTTTTTATTATAATTTATATATTTTTTATCATTTATTGTTATAATTTTGTGACTAATCACTTTTATGCCATAACATGCTAACATTTTTCCAAACACTATATATATTATTACATATAAAATGTATTTATTATAATAAATTCAATTAATTTTTTTTGTTTACAAAAATTAAAAAAACACACACAGACAGACACATATGAAATGCAGAAAAGATTTCTTAAAAAACACACACACACCCACAAACAAGCATTTTTATGTAACGGAAATCATTTTCTGCCATAACAACATAATTTTTTGTTACTCTCTCTCTCTCTCTTACTATAACTTACTACCCAGCACCCTTTGCCCCACCCCTCTGCACTTATCTGTTTGTCACAATTGTAAAATGTAACAACAAATGTAAATGTAACAACAACTACAACAATTTTTTCTATATATAAAGCATTTTTCGATGCGGATTTTTTTACGGAGGGGCGAGAATGTGTCAATTGCGGTGCGATTTCAACTCCACTGTGGCGGCGTGATAACACCGGACACTATTTATGCAACGCGTGCGGTCTTTATCATAAAATGAATGGCATGAATCGACCCCTTATAAAACCACCCCGAAGATTGGTAAACATAACAAAAAAATATCTCTTTTTTTCTCTTTTAAAAATAATTTAAAAAAAAACAAAATTTTTGAATTTAAATTTTGAAATCCAAGTTATTACAGTAACCGAAATAATCCGAAATCTTATAGAAATCCTAAGCCCTCTTGTTGAATGCAAATACGTTCTCGCTTTTCGTGAAAGAATGCCTGCCAGAAATCGAAAGTAGCCTCAATAAAAAAAATTAATTGAATTTATTATAAATAATTAACCCAAAACCCCCAAACCAAAAAAAAATAGATTTTTTTATTTTTTTTCTATTGTTTTTGTTTTTTTTTTTAACAAAAAAAACCGTTATTTTTTTTCTTCTTCTGCAATAATTTTTTACTAAAATGAAAATCAATCCACCACTTACTTAATTACAGTGGCCGCTGGATCGGGCGGGGATTTCTATAAGAGCTATGCGTTTAGCGTTACAAATCGGAACAACAACAGCACACCCAACACTGCCCCACATAGCAACAACAACAACAACAGTGGCTCAACGCCAAACCTAAAAGAGGAACATGTTGTTAGTCGTGCTACCTCCAGACGTTTGGTAGGTGTCGTCTCACAAAACAAAATCGAATTCAAAAATTTTGTTTTTTTTTTAAATTTAAATTTTGAAATTTTTGATTTTAAATTTTTGAAAAAGAAATTGGTATTCATTTTATAATTCTCTTCCCTTTAGAGTGCCTCCCGCCGTGCCGGTCTGACCTGTTCCAATTGTTTGACCACCCAAACCTCCTTATGGCGCCGCAATCCCAATGGCGAGCCAGTGTGCAATGCCTGTGGCCTCTACTATAAACTGCACAGTGTCAAGCGTCCGTTGACCATGAAAAAGGATACAATACAGGTAAGTTGGGAAAAGTTTGAAAATTATTTGGAAAATTTAATTTTAAAAATTACAAAAAAAATCTCAAATCTAACATGTTCGAAAAACTAACCACTGTGCGACCAAATTTCATTTTTTTTGAAAATGGTTTTGAAATTTGAATATTATAAGAAATTGGCAAAAAATATTTTTTTTTTCAATTCAAATCGAACATTTTTTGTTACAAAATTCAATTTTCAACAATAATTACGGGCAAAATCAATTAAATTATGAAAGTAGATGAACAAGTGTATCGATATTCTTAAAAGTTTACAACGCAAAGTAATGGAACAGAGGTGGGCAAGAAGTTCCCCCCTCTTCCACACTTTTGAAAATCTTCGGATTAAGATTCCTTGCAATCCACGCATTTTAGATATATAGTGTCTTTGGCAATATTTCAAATAAAAATACGAGGTATATTTTAGCCGAAAATTTTAACCCCCATGCGAGTCAGCAAAGGGGTCTTTTTGGTCCTTTTTTGGAAATATGGTCAAAACCTGCCTTTAAATGGGATCGTAGAAAGTTAAAATATTCCACAAAATTATTTGTCATCAAATTCTACTATAGGTCCTAGAAGACCTGAAAGTCCTAACTCTTACCTAAATATCAGGAATTCAATATATGAAAATCACATTTGAGGGTTAAACCCGTACTTTATGTGAGTTTCTGCAAAAATCTCCAACAAATCATCGTTTTAGAAGGATATCATCAAGGAAAAAAATACTCTTCATTAAATTTCACTATAAGTCACCAAAGAAAAAAATTATCTATTTCCATTGCATATCCAAAAAATATGTGAATCAATGTTCTTAAAAAAAGAGAAAATATTTCCTATTTTTTTTAACTATTTTTCCTTGGACTTTTTTAGAGTTGATGCCTTAAAGTAACATGAAATTTTATTTTAGCCGAAAGGTGTCAAAGAAGGAAATATTCTACACAAAATTTCAGTATAAATCTCAGAATAAACTATATATCTGGGTACAATAGGTTTTATGGAAATTTCAGTTGAAATGTATTGATTACCAGTAAAAATTATGTGTATACGTTTTTACTGTTAATTTAACACCTTTCCAATTTGAGTCAAAATCTGCCCTAAAACAACATTTTTTGGACAAAGTATTAAAGGACGAATTAATGTACATAAAATTTCAATATGGGTTACCAAGGAAAAAATATTTCAATTTCCATTATATATCATGAAAATATTCGCTCCAATATTTCCGAAAAAAGAAAGAAAAAATTCCCTCATTTTTTTCAACAATTTTTCCTTGAAGTTTTTTGAGTTGACGTCTGAAAGTAACATAAAATTTCATTTTAGGCGAAAGGTGTCAAAGGAGGAAATAATCTACACAAAATTTCACTATAAATCTCAGAATAAACTATATATCTAGGTATAATAGATTTTATGGAAACTTCAGTTGAAATGTATTGATTACCAGTAAAAATTATGTGTATACTTTTTTACTGCCAATTGAACACATTTCCAATGTAAGTCAAAATCTGCCCTAAAACAACATTTTTTGGAGAAAGTATTAAAGGGCGAATTATTGTACATAAAATTACATATGGGTTACCAAAGAAAAAATTTCAATTTCCATTATATATCATGAAAATATTTGCATCAACATAGCCAAAAAAAGTGAAAATATTTCTAATTTTTTTCATACATTTATTTGGACTTTTTTGGAGTTGACTTCTGAAAGTAACATGAAATTTCATTTTAGGCGAAAGGTGTCTAAAGATGAAATATTCTTTACAAAATTTCACTATAAATCTCAGAATAAACTATGTCTCTAGGTGTAATAGTTTCTATGAAAACTGAATTTCAAATGTGTGTACTAAAGGTGAAAATTATGTATTGCTTTTTTGTACTGTCAATTTAACATGTATCCAGACCGAGTCAAAATCTCCCTTTATATTTAATTTTTTGGGAAAAGTGTTAAAGTAAAAATAATTTGTATACTTAATATGCACCATAGCAAAATATCATCAATTTTTGTTAATAAAAAGCTTTGTTTTTTCTGATAAATTTAGAACTTTATCCCAATTCGCAACTAATTTTCTTATAATTTCAGTGTACAATAGCCCTGTCTGGGTTTTGAAAAATGCTAAGGGAACAAGTGATAGTACTGGTTTTATCACTGCAAGAGTCTTGGCCATATTTTCCAATCCGAGGAAAAATTGTGGAAAATAATCAGGGAATATTTTCGGTTTTTTTTTTTTGGGAAAATTATTGCAATCCTTTTTTTCGATTTCCAATGGAAATAGACATATCTTTTCTTTGCTGACTTATGGTAAAATTTGATGAGGAATATTTTTGTCTTTAATGCCATCCTTCTAAAATGATGTTTTTTTGGAGATTTTTGCAAAAACTCGCATTAAGTACCTCTTTAACCCTAAAATGTGTTTTTCTTATATGATTTCCTGGCGTTTAGGTAAGATTAAGACTCCTGACGTCTTCTGAGACCTATAGTAGAATTTTATGACAAATAATTTTGTGGAATATTTTGATTTGCTACGATGCCGTTTAAAGGGAGTTTTTGAGCATATTTTCAAAAAAGAACCAAAAAGACCCCTTTGTTGGCTCGCTCGAGGGTTAACATTCTCGACTAAAATATTCCTCGTATGTTTATCTACAATATTGCCGAAGACATAATATACCTAAAATGTTTGGGTTGCGAGGAATCTGAATTCGAAAATTCCCAAAAGTGTGGAGGAGAGGGGATATTCACCCATTTTTTTTGGTTACTTTGCGTTGTAAATTTTCAAAACGCCGATACATGTGTCTTCTTTTTTTAGCTCTATTTTCATAATCTGCTGGATTTTCCCCTTAATTATTTTTTTTTTGTGTTGCCCAGTGTAATTTGCGAAAAAAAAATTAAAAGTTTGTAATTTTTAAATTTTGAAAATGAAAAAATTAAAAAAAGTTATCAAAACATAACAATTTATTTTACTATACTTAATTTTCGAAAAATCAATTAAAAATTATTAATTGTTATTTCCACCATTCCAGACCCGCAAACGCAAACCCAAGGGTTGTAAGGCCGAAAAAATGAGCAAGAAACAGGCAGCAGCCGCTGCCGCCGCCGCAGCAGCTGCAGCAGCAAATTCCAGCACTATGGAGCAAGGCCTCAATGAAAATTCCAATGGAAATATTTCCGGACTGAATCTAAGCGATAATGGTGAGTTCCGAATCCTTTTCATTGGCTTTAAAAAAAGAATAACAACATTTTGGGTTTGACAAGACTAATAATGGTGTTCTCTTTTTTGTGTTCTCTCTTTCTCTCTCTCCCTCCCTTTGGACATTAGATATTAAACCTTTAACACACCAACAACAATTAAACACATCCGCATCATCATTAACCCAATCGGCGGCTACATCACCCACGACTAGTTTACCATCGCCAAGTAATTCTCATCATCACACGTTAAGTAATAACAACAACAACAATAATAATAATAACAATAACAGCATGAAAATGTCACCAACATCGCCGTTGATGCAACAGCAACAACAACATCATCATAACTTGGGAAATATGTCACCACATGAATATCAGCAGCAGCTTGGCCAGTTGCAGGCCTATCAGCAACAGCATGCCTCATCAGCTTCATCATCGCCAAACAACAACAACAACAATTCCACATTTAATGAACCAAACGCTAATGATGGCAATCTGTCATTTGTTAAATTTATGCAACAACAACAGCAGCAGCTGCAGCATGCGGACAAACTGAATCTGCAGCAATTGACGCAATTGCAACAACGTTCGAACAGCATGAATCCGAATTCGCCGAACAACAACAACACCACGAAAACTTCACCTACCCCCCACAGCCCCACGGCAATGGTACAACAATATCTGCAACAACAGCAACACCATCCCAACCAGCTTTCACAACACTCTCCACCTCAGCATGGCGAACACCCAGCCCTACAGCATTCACCGCCCTCCAATGCCCACAGCAGCCACTGTCCCCTGAATAGCTACCATCAGCAGCAGCAGGAGACGGCGGCCGGACAAGCCTCACCATCCCTCTCAACGGAGGAATATGAATGCTATGGTGATTTGATATCGGCCAATGATAACAACAACATTAAAATGGAAGAGTTGCAACATATGCAACAACAACAACACCATCACCAGCAGCAGCAACAACAACACCAACATGACATGTTGTCCTCCTCGGCCCATTTGCCAATGGCGGCCAGTCGTAGCCCCTCCATGGATGATGATTACGAATACCAGCGTACCCAACTGATGTTGCAACATCATCAACACCAATTGGAACAGCAGCAACAACAACAACATCATCTCCAGCAGCAGCAACAACAGAATTTCTTGCAATTCCATAGTTTTTTGCCACAAAATCTGGCCGATTTCGGTCGGAAATTTGAACGGGAAACAGTGGTGAAAATGGAATAGTTGGATGGTGAGACAAAATGGTTTGGGTGGCAATTCAACAATCTCTCAATGACAGAGAGAGTGAGAGGGAGAGCTAGAAAGCATAGAGTACAACTTTCTTTGGGGGTACGGGGGTGAGAAGTCATGGACCTTAAGTCTCTTTGCCAAATGCAATTTTTGAAAAAAAATTTTCAAAAACATTTCAAAATTTTTAAAATTCAAGCCCGCCTGTAGAAAAAAATAATCTAAATAATTCATAAAATCAAAAAGTAAGGCTATGGAGAAGCGATTTTTTTCGAATTGGCTTTTTTGGCATAAAAAATAATTTTTGATATAAAATTTATTGAGCTTCTCTTGAGTGTTCAGTGGCCAGGAAGTTCAGGAAGAAAAGCCTAAAAGTGAGGTTTACCACAAAATTTTCTTTTTTTTTGTAAACATTTTGGAGAGAAAAATGAAGTCAAATTTAGTTATATTTTTCAATTTGTCTAAAATTAGATATTATGGACAATGCCAAGGTCATCTGTTGAAAAAATACCCATAATTTAGTTTATGCCCCACATCAAAAGTGAGGTTAGGGAGAACACCCTCGATTTTCCATAATGAAACGATTTCGATTATGACATTTCCGAACTCGATTTATATTCCTGAACTCAATTAAATTTGGTTTAAGAGAAAAAAACGAGTACCGTCCTCTATGTAGGCTTTGGGGAGTTTTCCGTTGAGAAAATACCCATATTTTAGTTTATGGCTCACATCAAAAGTGAGGTTAGGGAGAACCCCCCGATTTTCCATAATGAAATAAATTCGAATATAAAATTTCTGAACTCAATTTGAATGTTAGATCTGCTTTAAGAAGAAAAAAAACGTGTGTCGTCTTCTATGTAGACTTTGGGGAGGTTTCCATTATTTAGACCCCCAAAAGTGAGGTTATAAATGAAAAAGTCCACTTTTTGATAATTTCTTTGAAAAAATAATTTGGGCCAACGGTACGAACAATAATCCTAGTTTAGCCTTTTTCGAACTACTTCATAATATAGAAGCCTAAAAGTGAGGTTAGGTCTGGAAAAAATAAATTTTTTAAAAATTGTCATAACTTCATTGCCTTTTTGGTAGCATCCTTCCAAAATTTACCCTTATTTATATGATGGTCAACACTCAAAGTGAGGTTATGGAGAAGCAACATTTTTCAATTCCTTTATCCAAAAAAAATACTTTCAAATATAAATTGAACTAACCTAGAATGTTACACCTGCTTTGAGGTGAAACAAATTTAACCCCGCATTAAGAGCATAACATAAATCTGGAGAATTTCAGTATTGAGATCCTCAAAAGTGAGGATAGAAAATGTTCGAAAATTTTAACTTTTTTTAAGAATTTAAAGCGGCTTATTAAGACCCATATAAGCTCATGTGTAGAGAAAAATAACCCTATTTTAAATTCCTTTATTCAAAGTGAGGTTATGGCGCACATTTTCTTTCTCCATAAAACAATACTTTCTGAAAAAAATTCTTAAAACAATTTGAGTTTTTTAAGGAGAAATAGGGCAAGCAATACAGCATTTATGGAAAATAACCAAAAAATTTAAATTTTGACCAAAAGTGAGGTTATGTACATCGGATGGCTTAAAACTCCTTTTTTCACAAAAAAATGTTTTTCTAATATAGAATATATGACCTGATCTTGAGCTTTATGTATGGATTTTAGGGGGAAATCGTGGGGGAGATCGTGATATCAAAATAGAGCTAAATGTAAAGTATTTTATTTCCTAGCTGGACTTTTGAAAAATTGAGGTTAGATATTCAAAAAAAAAAAAGTAAAAAAAGCTGTAAGTTCTGCCGGGTCGATCTTTGAATACCCTCCACCTTTTGGAACGAATTGGGCAATTTTCTAAAATATAAAATCCGTTAAAAATTCTGTTAAAATCTTAAAAATACCGAATATGGGGAGGTACCGTTATATTAGGGTCTATACGACGACGTGGACCTGCATAGGCAATTTTTGCATAAGCCATTACGAACTTCAAATACCAAATTTTAAAAAATTCTGGCTAATAATGTCGCTAAAATCATCAAAATACCCAATATCTTGAGGTACCGTTATATGGGGGCTATACGAAGACTTTGACCTGCACAGACAATTTTCTGTCTTAGGCTTTACTATCCATTACGAACTTCAAATACCAAATTTGAAAAAATTATGGCTAATAATGTCGCTTAAATCACCATCATTTCATTCGGAAGCTAGAGTGATTTCCACAGACGGACAGACGGATGGACATCGCTAAATCGACATAGAATTTTATGCTGATCAAGAATACATACTCTTTGTGGGGTCTAAAATGTGTATTTCGAGGTGTTACAAACGGAATGATAAACTTTATTTACCCCCCATACTATGGTGGAGGGTATAAAAAATCACGATTACCTTGGCATTGGGCATTTTCGTTCCAAAGAGAAAAGTGCGTGACTTCTTACTCTCACAATTCTAACCTCACTTTTTTTATACTCCATTGCCAAGAAAGTGAGGTTATGGCCGATTTTTTTCAATTTCATTAAAAACATACTGTCATTTGAATTCATTTTTTAGGAATTTTATAAAACCATTGCAAATACACCAAAGATCAAAGAATTAATCCAAAAATAATAATAAAAAAAAAAATGGACAGACTAAACAAAGACAATTCCAAAGAATCTTTAGAATTAGGGAGCATTTTTACAACAAAAAGTTATATTTCAAAATAATATTTGAAAAAAAAAAAATAAAAAGACAAATATTATATAAAAACTAATCATCATGTATACTAAGGAGCTAAATTATTTAGGCTCTGTTAAAAAACAAAAAACACATCCTTTAAGGAATTTACAAAAAATCCAAAATTAGTTAAACCAAAAAAAAAAACATATATTTTGTAAATATACAATAATTAATAAGAACTGTTTATATAAAAAAATGAAAAAAATATATAAATTCAAATTAAGAAAAAGCAATAAATGATTTTTTTTTGTATAATTAAATTAGTTTAATTTGTTTTATAAAACACCCACACACAAACTGCAATTATATATATAATTCTTTTAATTTCATGCAAGAGATTTTTGTTTTTTTTATATCAATTTATAAATATCTATTTTTTTAATTTTAAGGCCTTCGTGTTTTGTAAATTTACTTTTTTTATTATACACATATACGTAAGTTTTATTTATATATATTTGCATATTTTTTATGTTAATAAAATTATTCCAAATAAAAATACGAAAAATCTCATTTTTTATAAGTCAATATATTTGTTTTTATTATAGATTTTATATTATATTACAAATTTTATATATACGAATTTTTATATGCAATTAAAAAAATAATTTAATATAATAAATTTTATATGTTTTTTTTTATTGTTACACTCTATTGATATTCTTCCATTAGTTATGTAAGTTAGTAAATAAAATTCCAAATAAAAAAAAAAACAATTTTATAAAAAAATAAACAAAATATATATTTTAAAAATAAAAAAGAAAATATTTTTGTTTTTACTGAGGGCCTGTCTGTGGAAGATATTACAAAAGCGGAAAAAAGAATAAACGCCATAAAATTCTATGTCGATTTAGCAATGTCCGTCCGTCTGTGGAAATCATTCTAGATTCCGAACGAAATGAAGTAGATTGATAAATTTTTACTCTAATGTATGTCTGCATGACTTTTGGTATTTAAAATGGGCCAACGTGGACCTACGTTTTGGTATAGCCCCCATATAATGTACCTCCCTATTTTCGGTATTTTGGTGATTTTAGCGACAATATTCACCGGAATTGTTTCAAATTTGGTATTTGAAGTTCGTACTGGATATATAAGGCAGAAAATTGTCTGTGCAGGTCCACGTCTTCGTATTGCCCCCATATAATGGTACCTCCCTATATTCGGTATTTTGATGATTTTAGCGACATTATTCACCGGAATTGGTATTTGAAGTTCGTAGTGGATACTACAGCCTATGACAGAAAATTGTCTATGCAGGTCCAGGTCTTCGTATAGGCCCCATATATCAGTACCTCCCTATATTCGGTATTTTGACGAGTTTAGATACAAAACCCACCGAAATTGTTTGAGATGTCGTATTTGAAGTTCGTAAAGGATACTTCAGCCTATGATAGAAAATTGTCTGTGCAGGTCCACGTTTTGGTAAAGTCCCCACATAATGGTACCTCCCTATATTCGGCATCTTGATGATTTTAGCGACATTATTCACCGAATTTTTTTCCAAGTTTCGCGTTTGAATATTGTAAAGACTTACGACAAAAGTTGCCTATGCAGGTCCACGTCGTATAGACCCCAATATAACGGCTACATTCGGTTTTTTTAAGATTTTAACAGAATTTTTAACGGATTTTATTTTTTTTTTTGAAAATTGCCAATTTCGTTCCAAATGGTGGTGGGTATTCACAGTTCGGCCCGGCCGAACATACAGATTTTTAACGTGTGTAATTTTTAAAATTTTTTTAAAGGACCTCCTGACTAAATAACAACAACAACTTCTTAGACTTTTTGAGAATGTTAACATCAGAAATTTTCTTCCAGCAAGATCTTTTAAAAGGTAAGCACTATTTATATTTTTAAAGGCCTTACTGGACAAAAGTCCAGGATTTTTTATTTAAATAATTTTTTAAGCCAAAACTCATTGATTTTCAAGAAGCATTTTTAAAAGACTTCCTGATCTGAAATCGTTGATTTTTAAAGATTGTTTTTACAATTACTACCAGAGATAAATTTTGGATTTTTCGGACATTTTTTTTTTTTGGTTTGAAGGGCCCATTGACCAGAAATCTTGGATTTTGTTGGAAGAAATTCCTGACTCTTGATCAAATATCTTGGATTGTATGAAAAACCAAAATAAGTATCCAGTTCTCTTCAAAATTCCACACATCCCATTATTTCTACTAACACCAGATCTGCTGTGAAGATGGCACATATCGACCCACACCTTCTGGTACCTCCCCCACAAAGGGCTCAACTTTTTGAATAACCACGAAGCTCATAAAACGTAAAATTATTTTCAAACTTGGCACATCCCAATACTTCTATCAACAGATGTGAGGATGGTACCTCCCCAACAATGTGTCAAAATTTTGAATAATTATATCTCTAATAAAATGCGAAATAAGCATCGACTCTCTTCAAATTCCACACATCCCATTATTTCTACTAACAAAAGATCTGCTGTGAAGATGGTAGATATTGATCCATAACTTCTGGTACCTCCCCCACAAAGGGGTCAACATTTTGAATAACCACGAAGCTCATAAAACGCGAATGATCATTCGATTATTTTCAAACTTGACACATCCCAAAACTTCTATCAACAGATGTGAAGATGGTACCTCCCGAACAATAGGTCAACATTTTGAATAATTATATCTCTCATAAAATCCTCACATTTCAATATGAGATATATCGATCCACTCTTTCTGGTACCTCCCCCACAGAGTCAACATTTTGAGTAGAAAAATGGCCCGAAAATGCGAAATTAGCATTCGATTCTCTTCAAATTTTAGATATCTTAATATTTTTCCGAACACAAGATATGGTGTGAAGATGATAGATAGAAAGTTAGGTTATGGCCGATTTTTTCAATTTCATTAAAAACACACTGTCATTTGAATTATTTTTTTTAGAAATTTTATGAGACAAGTACACCAAAGATCAAAGAATTAATCCAAAAAAGAATTATAAAATAGGACAGACTAAACAAAAACAATTCCAAAGAGTCTTTAGAATAAGGGAGAATTTTTACAACAAAATTTTATATTTCAAAAAAAATATTTGCAAAAAATAAAAAAACAACCCCTTCTGGTACCTCCCCTACCCCTTCTGGTACCTACCCCACAAAGGATCACAATTTTAAATATTTATATCTCTCTTAATATACGATATATGCATATAAGTAAATATTTCCCTCAACCAGAGATCTAGTGTGAATATGAAGTTTATCGGCCTGCTATTTCTGGTACCACCCACACAAGTGGTCAATATTTCAGATAATTATAAGTCTCATAACATGCTTATTTTATGAAAATATTATCGATTTTTTTTAAATATAGGTATTCTTTATAAAGAATATATATTTTTATTTTATTCTATATACAAGACCTGCATACGATATTTTATTTTGAAAATATTTATTCTATAATATAAAATTGTTACCGTACATAAAACCGCGTTTTTAAACTCAACAAAGGAAACACCCTGTTATCAAAGAGAAATTTCTATTGGTAACGCCTTAAGGTATGCTTTAGTTTTTGTGTTAACTCATTGCAATAAACGAATGAAGGAAAAATACAACAATGTGAATGAGTTTAAGCAAAGACACAACCCCAGTTGGGACAAATGTCACAAAATAAATAGTTGTTGTTGGAAATTCTTAAGTGAATTATGTGTGTGTGAGACAGAGAGAGAGAAAGTCTGTGTGTATGTGGTTTTCACTTGGTAAAATAACAACCCTTAACAGTGACATTGTGAGAAATAAGTACTCTATGAGTTGGACTTGTTTTATAAAAGAAAACTGATGTTTTAACTAAACTTTATATTTTATAACAAAATAAAGAAATAAATTATAGCCTCAACAAAGCAAAAAATAAAAATATTAAGGCCAATATAAAAATGCTTGAGGACGTTGAAATAATATGATAAAATTACTTTTCTTGTAAAAATAATTTTAAAATGCAATATCATAAAATGCAAAAATATACTTTTTTTTTAAATTTCTAAATTGAGCTACATGTGAGCTATTAGTAATTCAATTTTATTTTTTGGTTATAATGTCACATTTATTGGCATAATATTATATTGATTTTTCATTTCCATCTTATGAACTGCAAACCGCCACCATGCATGCTCCCCCCATATAAACTCTTTTATGATGTTATTCATATTTACCCTCAAACTGAGCAGAGGAAATTTTCACGTAAATAGATCCAACTAGAAAACAAGTCGGTAACCACTTAAAAACAAAATACAAAAAAATAATGCTCATATATCAAAGCTATGTACACGGCTATGAAGGAGAACAAAAATTATTGTTATTATTATTGTGTGTTTTGTTGTTCGTATTCTTTATTAAAGCACATATTTACGAAACGTATGGTGTGTCTGTCTGTCGGCCGGTCGGTTGCTCGGTCGTTCGTTCAGTACCAAAAGATAAGATAAGAATTCACTTTATTAAACGTTTTTCATATAAAAATTACACAAACATACTCACACACACTCGCACTTACCTACAATCATACCCCTGCCACATGGCAAAACAACATAAAGAACCCAAAGGTAACCAGACAACAACAATTGAAAAAAAAATATGAAAATAACAAAATTCCATAAATTCTAGTCTAGAAAGGTGACAAATGTCTGCATTGAAAATGGGACGTGATTTTAGGTTTTTTCTTTCGATTTCACTAAGGGTGTTGTGCACAGCCCTTGGAATTAATTGTTTTATGAGAATTTATGGCTGTACTTTTAAAGTGATACCTATTTGGACTATGTGTGAACAGAACATACACCTAGTCCCTAGATAAAAATATAGCCATTTTCATTGATTAATATTTCCTTTTTGGAAAAGTTCAGTGAGGACCTTTTTAATATAAAAAAAGTTCAGTGAGGAACGTTTTCGTGTAGAAAAAGTTCAGTGAGGAACTTTTTCATAAAGAAAAAGTTCAGTGAGGAACTTTTTCGAATAGAAAAAGTTCAGTGAGGAACTTTTTCGAATAGAAAAAGTTCAGTGAGGAACTTTTTCGAATAGAAAAAATTCAGTGAGGAACTTTTTCGAATAGAAAAACTTCAGTGAGGAACTTTTTCGTATAGAAAACCTTCAGTGAGGAGCTTTTTCGTATAGAAAAAGTTCAGTGAGGAACTTTTTCGTATAGAAAAAGTTTAGTGAGGAACTTTTTCGTATAGAAAAAGTTCAGTGAGGAACTTTTTCGTATAGAAAAAGTTCAGTGAGGAACTTTTTCGTATAGAAAAAGTTCAGTGAGGAACTTTTTCGTATAGA